ATTCTGAAATTTTTTTAAATTGTATTCATTACTTTTATAATGTTAAGTGACTAATATGTATGTTAACTGTTTTGTGGTATATATGTATTGTTTAATATATTATACAATATTAAAACTTATATAAATACTGTTTTATATTACGGCTGTGGTACGCAAAATTCTTTTAGAATATTAAGTGTTATATACATTATTATTTATTATATATACCAAAATATTATTACTTTTTTGAGATGTTGATCATGAATATTGTAAAAACATAAATTACACTTAAGTAAACATGGTGTGTGAAGAAAATTATTATTGAATTAACGAATAGTGCTAAACAGTTTACTAATTAACATAATATAGTCATAGTTGTCTATCATAAAGTACTGTTTAGACTTATACTATATATTAGTAATATAAAACATTATATTATTATATATTCATCAATAGAGATTGACTACCTGTTTTACATAATTAAACATATCATAAATTATTATATTTGTGTAAAGGTATATCAATTATATTAATTGTTAAATTAAATTAAATTAGTTATTACTTATTATGTTAGAAATATAAATGTTAACAATATCGCAATTTACGCAATTGATAACTTAATATGTTATAAATAATACACAATACTTTGGTACAATATAAAACTCAATAAAGTTTAAAAAAAATGTCTAATTTTATCTATACGATTATACCAAATAAATATATATCATAATATGTACTTAGAACAAAATGAATCTGATTGGATTCAGTCATTAGTGTTAATTGTATGTGTATATTTAATATTTATTATATTGGTATGATATTGGTATTTATTTCCATATTTAACCCGTAAGTGGTACGACATTTTAATAAGTAAACCAAAACAAAAACTGCAGCGGTCTATGGCACCAGACCATACCACTTACAGGTTAATTATTCAAATAATGAATCGTTATATGTACCTAAGATTGTTTATTTAAGTTCAATAAGTTGACATGTATGGTGTAGAGTCTAGGAGAATAATAATGAATAATAAACTAACAATCTTATATTATGCTTACCTGCAACTACCTAAACACATAAGTAATACCACTGCCTAATAAATATACTAAGTGAAGTAGTACACAATATGATTGGAAATATATTAAAAAAATTTCGGTGAATAAAAAAAAAATACGGCCTCAGTTGTGAAATTGTATTTGTATATATTATAATAATATGATGTTAAAAATTCAAATATTTTTTAATTCGGCGGCCAGTGATAAATGTTATTTGTTGTTTACTCCAAGCCAAACTGATATGATATTTTCATCCATGAAAGTGATATAAACCGTTTTTTTTTCTAGTGATATAAACCGTTTTTATTTACTGTCTGGTTCTTAGTCCGTGGTGTACTGGAAACGACAAGGTGGGCGGATGACGGGGGACCGCCCGCAAAAGGTTCCTCTGTTATCATCGACATTCATAATCGAAAGTTTTCAGCTCTACCAGTGGTTTTATTTAGCGTCACATTTTGTATCTCAGTCCGTCTTTTAAACAGATGGCGCTGTAAACTCTCGAGATTATGGTTGCGACTCCCCCCCCATAACTCCGCATTAATTGCTTTCTGTACATACTACATACTTTCGACTTTCGAGGCCACTGATAAGCTCAAAGCTGCTCGTAAGTCGTAGCTCGTTTCCAGTCCATTATATCATTTATATCTTGGTCCGCGGTCGGTCTTCATAACAAAGTTATAAACTTTTGAAGTTTTCAAATTTAAGTATTATACATTTAGACGCCTACTCGGATTATTCCACGAATCTACATGAAAACAAAAATTTTAAAACTTTATCTAATTGTATATGTAATTATTTATTTTAATGTGTGCTTATGTCGCTTATGATATGCAACATTTTTTTTGGATGTTTCAATGTTTGGCGGGAAGGTTAAAGTTCCTAACCTAACCTCTCCCATAAACACAACCAAATTACGATGGTGAACAACTAGTACCAATCTGCAGTAGGGCGCTTACGACAAGATAACTCTTATAATCAATGTATCTATATTGTATTTGTGTTGTAACAGAGCTGTAGTCTCCCCCTCAGATCTGGAACCCATTTCTGCACTGTACATAATTAATAATTTAATTTTAATATATGCAACGGTTTCACTATTTCAGTTACCTAGTAGAAGTTAGATCAAGTTCAACTAATCTTAAATTATAGTATAATACCATACAATACTAATGGAAAAGTAAATATTATATATAGTAGGTACCACGGACTAAGATAGAATATCTTATTAGTCCGTGGTAGGTACCTAATATAGTAATACCTATAGATAATCTAAATATCCTTAGAAATATAGGTTTATCACCTCAAAACTATTAAACAAAATATAATATACAACTAAAGCTAAATTAATAAAATGTTCATATTTAAAAAAAAAAATAAACCAATATAATATATTCAGTTATTAGTTTTATTATCATCATAAAAAAGTAACTGGAAAATTGTATATTATTTTATGATGCAGTACCTGGGTTCACAAAAATAAAAAGGTGGGCAAATGGGTGTCGCTCTGCTGTACAGTAGGTTACAAGTGGGTCACTGTATAATGGATGGTATTAAATTTGAATTCAATGATATAATATCATTGTATAAGAAAAACGATTCTGAGCGGTGACGGTATGTCAGTGTATGTATAAGACATATTATATAGGTACTTATCTATGGTATTAAAAAAATTGACCTATAATGAATTCCAAATTAATCATATCACAATATCCATTAGGTACTTATAACACGTTATACATCAACAAAAACCGTGATACTATCATAGATATATAATAGTACACTTTAGAAGTTTCAAGTACCCACGAATAATATTATTCAATCACAACAAAATAACTAAAATAGTTATTCTAGGTTTTTTAATATGTAATTTCGTCCAAATTTGAATTTAAAATGTCTGTAAAAAATAAGTGTGTTTATATATTTTTTAGATTTTTTGGTTACAGTATGAATTATTTAAGAGAATCTTTGTTTTAAATTTTCAACTCTTAGTTATAAAAACTGAACATTTTATAATTTTTTAATTCCAACGATTGATAATTTTCGAGATTCTGATAAATTTTGTCAAAATTCCAACTTTAAATGCTTATAAAAAAAAACGTGCCTATGTATTTTTAATATTTTTCAACTGATATTGTAAAATTTTTACACTTTTTGGCCCAACAGATAAAACTTTATTGATATTTATAGAAAAAAAAACTAAAAAAAATTGAAAGCTGTAAATGTCCATAAACAGCTCAAAAAGAGTCAAAATATTTTCAAAATTGTATGGTGTATAGGAAATGCTAATATAAACATTCAGTGAAATTTTCATGTATCTACAGTTATTCGTTTTTGAATTACAACAAAATGAGGAAATCGCTGCATGAGAAATCGAGTGAAAATCCAATGTTGTAAAAATTTGAATTTCAAACGCTCATAAAAATTTAATTTGACTGTCCGGTAGAGATTTTTTTATTGATAAAGGTAGATAATCTTATAAGGAATCTTGTGTTTCATTTTCAAATCTTAGATTTAAAAAGAAAAATTTTTACGAATTCTTAACTCAAAATAATTTGCTAATTTTCGTGATTTTTCCATATTTTGTCAATTTTTGAACTTTAAATGCTTATAAAAAAAAATTGTGACTAAGGATTTTTAATATTTTTCATCTGCCTTTGAAACAACATATTAGGAGCCTTCTATTAAATTTTCAAGCTTTCGCAACCAACAAATAAAATTTTATTGATATTTTTAGAAAACAAACTAAAAAAAAAATGGAAAATGCAAATGTCCCTAAACAGTTCAAAATAAATCAAAATATTTTGAAAATGTTATCGTGTATAGAAAATGCAAATATTAACAACCAGTGAAAATTTCATGTATATACGTTCATTTGTTTTAGAGTTACACCAATAACCAAAATCGATTTTTTGGAAAACCAATTTTGCGTAAAAATTCCCGTTTTTCCTTAATTTTTATGTTGTTTTTCCCGGCGCTTGTGAAAACTACTGTAAAATGTTTACTTTTGACCCCCCAAAGTACCAACTAGATTCACTTTCCTATCAGAAAAGGTACTATTGAAGAAAATCGAAGCACTTTTACTGTCCCAAAACGTGATGACAGACACAAAAAAAATATAAAAATATAAAAACACACATCATTGTAAAACCAATACATTCATCGCTCCGCTCAGAATCTAAAATATAAAAACATACATCATTGTAAAACCAATACATTCATCGCTCCGCTCAGAATCTAAAATGTTGACACATATTTTCTGCTCTAAATTGTTTTTTGTACCTTATAATAACTTATCTATCATTTAATCCAAAATTAAACCATTGAATACACCTACACAGTTATACCAGGCAAATACCTGCATTACAGTGACAAGGTATACGATGTGTCTTGTGTCTATATTTACATAATCTACTATACAACAGAGTGAGTACTACGGGTTTTCTCACTGACTGAAAAATTTAGAAACCATTGTTTATTTTTTAGCCTAAATAGCCAATAAGTACTTACCTATTAAATATCTTTATACTATTCTATACCATAGACTATAGTTTATAATTACATTTTAATTTTTTGTGATGTGCAGCTCTGTTAATGAAACTTGTAGTGTTCATATCTTTTACAAGTTGTATCGACCAAATATTCACACCACAATAAGGTCAGGTTTACTTAATTATTATTTATTAAGTAATCAAAAATAATTATTATTTTAATGAATAAACACAAACATTTGTTAGTTAATGATTAATGAATAAAACACATGTTACATAGAATACAAGTGCAATATATCTAAACTATACTTTAAGTTGAGCATAAAAAGAAATTTATATTACCTATATTATCAAAAATTAAGTTTAGAAAATATAATTAATATAATTAACCTATGTTAAAAGTTAAAACCGACATTATTTAATAGTAATTATAATCATATTGTATATTAAAAGTAAGAATATATTTTCAAAGAATAGATTATAAATATTGAATATCAATCATATTTTTCAGCGCTTTCATAACTGTATCCAACTTTATATCAAGATCTTTTCTATCCTTTTGAAAACTTTCATCTTCTAAAAGCACTTCATCAATTTTCTTTTCAATTAAATAGGTTTGGAATATTTCTTCATTTAAACGCTTATCAAGGACTTTTAAAAACGAATTAATCATTTTGTGTTTAATTCTTTTAGGCACAAAGTCACGCACAATTTTCCTGATGTACTCAAAATAACATTGACTTAAATCTCTATGTAATTTAACTTGTTCAGACGATTCTAATGAATCGTCATTGTTATTAAGACCTGTTAATAACTGATTTAACATTTGTATTCTATTAAGTTCAACCTTTTTGTGCTGGGTCATATCTTTCCAATTCCCATCAGAAGAAGAGTCACTGTCATCTTTGTAATTATTTATATTTGCAGCAGCTAGAATTTCTTCTTGAATCGTACTACTTGATTTTACTATTTCCAATATAAAATCTGGATTGGCTGTATCTAAACATTCCTGATATGATTCTATGTATGAAGCAATAAAATCTTTGATATTTTTCACATTTTCTTCCAGCAACTTCTCAAAAACATTTCGCACCTAAAATCATAAAATTGTTATTTTATTACTTAATTAAATACCAGAAGTATAATATAAATTTTGTTTCAGTAAGGACTAAGGGTATCTACAATATTATTATTTTATGCTGAACCAGTGAACCCCTACAGTGATTATTAATTATTATTACTTATTACTACGAAAAAACTTAGATACAAAATCAATTAATTGAGGTTAAACTTACATCTTCATTCAATTGTGGGTATCGCCTAAGTGTTTCCAACAATCTGTCATCAATGGAATTCAATATGTTTAACATCTCACTGCGCACCAATTCTACGCAATCCAATGATGGCTCGACCAAGTTCTTTAATTGGCGGCTTAAAATTTTTTGTAACGCCTTTTCATTGACAAAAGTGCTTTGGTTAGTTCCTGATGTATTTAATAGTACCGTTGCTATATTTTCGTTAGTTAAATCCTGTAACGGGTCTATGGCATTTATTGTTTTTAAATATTTTTGTTGGATTATTCGAGCGACACTTGCACCGCCAATAATTTCGTCGACCGAAACATCATTTTGATTTCCATTCACAGTGTCTTCATAAGATTTGCTGATATCTTTTAAAAGTCCTATTACAAACGATACTTTGTTCTCAGGAGTATGCAATAACAATAATTTCCTCCCTAATTTATTTTTCATATCTTCGAGCTCAACTTTAAGTTTTGGATAAACTTTTTTAATGTGCGTAATCAAAATCATCTGCAATGTTCGAGCTAATGCTTTGTTGCCATGTTTTGTACAAATATCTGGATAGTTAGTTTTTAGAAATTCTGTTTCTGACGTTAGCGTGGCATCCATTGATTTATTTTCAACAATGTCTTTTTGACTTCTATTCACAACTCCTATGATACCTAGTTTCACTGGAATCCTGCGACCACACAGTAAATCTTTTGTATCTTGAAGTGTACCTTCATCAATCAGATCCAATTTTGTAACTACAGCTATTGTTCTGACGCCATCTGGGTCTATTTTTTTTGCTATTTGCAGGCTTTCACTCGTTGAAGGATCAGTATTCGCAGTCACCACTGCTAAAATAATAGAATTTGCCTTATTTACATAAGACATAATCAATTTCTGTATTTGTTCATCTATATCATCAGGTTGATCGCCAACTGGCACTTTTGTTATACCTGGCAAATCTACAAAAGTCAGATCATAGCGATTAGTGTGAATTTTCAATAATATTTGACTGTTAGTGATGCCTTTATTATTTCCTGCAAGAATGTTTGTTCTACTTTCAATTTCATTGCGTACCGAATCGAAATCGAAAAAAAAATTATTTGGCTTATGTAAAAACTCTGCCCATTCTGTTATGCTTTCATTGTCTTCGATGTTATGAGACATCAACATGGATCGTTTCGTTTCTTCGGTGTACCTAATCATTTGTATGACTAATGGCGCTCTGGTAACTATACCAGTTCCTCGAGGTAAAAATGATTTTCCCACTATGCTTTCTAGCACAGAGCTTTTACCGGAACTCTGTGTTCCCACTACCACAATTTGTGGTAAATCGGCGATCTGCTGTTCACCAACTACTGCAAAAACATCTTGTAGCTTATTTACAACTTGGATAAGTGACTGCATTGTTGATTTTGTATTGTCTGAATCTAAAATAAAAAATATAAAAATGTTATTAGTTAATAGTTTAAAATTTAAATTATGATGACTTAGACTTATAAATAGTAATGAGTTAGGTATACACATTGTTAATAATATGTTTTTTTTATTATGATTAATAAGCTAATATTTAAATAAGTTGATTTTACAATATCTATTTTATTGTTATAATGCATATATATAATATATTTTAGACCCTGGTCCCTGAGGGGTAATATAATAAGCAGCGAATGTTGTACATTCACCACTTATATTATATTTCTGCTATTTCTTGATATTGGTAAAATTAAATGGTTTTTTTCAAAACATTTAAACATAACTACATATATATTAAGGAAATGCATCAAAATATAAATATAGGTACAATTGGTACAAACTTATTGTCTTTAAATTGTTTTTGTCTTCTCAGATACAATGATTAATATTTACAAAATAGTACATTGACATTGTTTATTGTACTTTTTATTTAATATACTCAAGACAAGTCGATAATAATATATAGATTTGTATGTTTAGCTCAGTCTCTATGACTTTAGAATTTTAAATAATATTATTTTCACCAAAATATGTTATTGATGATTCTTATGTTCATGAGCACTTAAACTACAACCAACTGAAAATATCAATTCAAATAAAAAATAAATTCATTCAATATAATACCTATATACATGGTAGTATGGTACCATCTCTAGGTTAGTCATTCTGCTTATATTTTTTGATTTGTTTATATACCAATTTTCAAAAAAATCATCTACTTAGCAATTAATAACATTAAAAACAGGCAAGAAAAAAATTGTACAGGATGACATTTCTGAATTAAAAAATTTAAATATAGAAAAATATGATTTAGTATACGAGTATACCTATATCTATACTTAGGTATAAATTCTATAAATCGGATTTTGAATAAATGTTTTAATAAAATAAAAAAAAATTGGGAAACTCATTCTGCTGTAAAGTACCTACTTTTCAAGTGTACCTCATAATTGAATAAATCACTTTACTTTTTAATAGATGTATTAAGTTTGAATTTTGAATTCAATGATAAATAATAATCATTGCATGAGAAAAATGAACCTGAATGGACTGCATGTTTTGTCAGAATAGGTATTGGGTGATCTATTTGATGTAAAACTCTAATTAATTCAAAGTATAATACTAACGTTCTTTGAAAATATTTCTTTTATATAATTTTAAGTCATTACAAAACAGCATTTTTGGATTACATTTTTTTAAATTTTTAATTCTTACAATTTTTAAGTTTCTTACTTTTTAGAATACTGAATAACTACATACATTTATACACTTTTAATTTCATATTCCTAAACAGAATATTGTTCTGAGTATTTTGAACTATAAAAGTTAAATTTTGAATATTAAGTTTATTAATTATAACGTATTCTTTATAAAGTTATAACTTATAAGTATTTAAAGTTTGATGACAGGCGAGTAGTGGACCAACATTGTGCGGGGTGCCTACTCAACTCAGCTAATCAATACTTGAAAATAGTTTAAATACTTAAAGTTATAACTCATAAGTCATAAACTTCTTGTCCAAAATTTTACTTTAAGATATACCTACTCTAGAAAATATTCTGCGTTGGAATAAAGAATTAAAATTGCATACTTTCATTAAAAAAGTCAAAATTCATAAATATGATAACAATACAAAAGAGTAAAAACATATTTTTTAGAAATATGTTATTTTTTAACGACTTAATAAATTATTTAAAAAAAAAGTATTATCAAAAATGTTTATAGTTTTTGAAATAATGAGTTACATTAAATGGATCACCCGGTTTTCATTCTAAGGTATATTTCTAACGACAATATACTATATAATATTAATTTTAATATACAATATATATGTTTTTAATATGGAAGGTTGGACCAAAAGCAAATGGCAGAGCTTTATATTATTACAATATTATTTCATATGGTACCTAATACCTATCACTAGGTGTTAACATAGTCAATGTACTGACGTATCGTAGACCATTGTATTCACAGGTTCAGGTTCATAGTATAAATATCCAATAATTAATCTAAATACTTTATATGCCATTATAAGAAGTAAATAATAATGTGAGAAGTGGTGAAAAGTTTAAAGTTTCAACATGAATAACAAGTTTAACATGTTTTTTAAATATTACAAAATGTTACGTTTAAATAATATATTGTTTGTCATTTTAACTTGATATGCACATACAAAGAATTGAGCATTTGCATTTTTAAAATGCTCCAGTTTTTCTATAAGAACAATTTATGATAAACCATTTTGTATACATTTTTCAAGTCTTAGTTATTAAAATTAAAAATTTTACACAAATTTTACTAGATATAAAATTATTTTAAAATTTCCGTAATTTTGACGAATTTTTCAAATTTGAACTAAAGATGTTTATAAATACAATTTATGAATATTTATTTTAAATATTTAACTACTCTCTCTAACCAATTTAAATTTAGGGTACCCAATGTGCATCCATTTGTACCCTATTTTTAAAATTTGTACCCCTTTTCTTTAGACATAAAATCAAATCTATTGTCCGGACGCTGTAATGACGTAATACCTACTAGCACCATTGGCACTACCTAGCGTTTGAATTGCAGGATACGCAAGGCTTGGTGTTTTTAAACATCTTTGTTTTTTAATCTAAATGTAATAATAGGTAGGTACTTCATAAGCAAATCGATTTAGATGAATCTGTGTCCCTAGGAAATTAACTAAAAAATGTTAAGTACATATTATATTGTATCGACAATTCATATAAAAATAATAGTCTCAAAAATATTGGCAACTGTGTTCGAAATAATAAGTGTCATGTTGTGTTTTATATTTTTATTAAAATTTATAATCAAATTATTTTTCAAATTGTACACAGAAGAATGCAATTAGATGATTGGACCAAACAATAAAATGATATTGTACGTAGTTTTATGTAAAAAATAATAAATACAAATTATTATTTATTAATATATTGTAAAGTATGACAATTTATCATAAAACGCTACATACCAATTACCATTTTATTTATAATATGTTACACACCCATGACCCATGGCCATAGCAGTATAGGTAAGTACCTATATATTATTATATAAAATTATATTATAATACCGTGGGCTCAGAATACCGTGGGCTCAGAAATCTAAAAATATCAAATTGTTAAGGAGAGCCATTTTAAATTATTAGATTCTGAGCGGAGCGACTGAGCGAGGGAGCTAGTGGTTTTACAATGGTGTTTTTTTTTTATCGTGTATACAAAATTTCTACCAGAATGAGAACTTTGATTTAAACATACAGTATATTATACTTTAGCAAATTGGATCAAGATGGTACCTACTTTAGAGAGGTCATTTACCGATTTCCTCAATAGTTGCTTAATACCACGGGAAAAATCACCGAAAATTACGAAAAACCTCTATAAATGAGATTTTAATATCCAATGATTTTTTTATCAACATAGAAACGAATAAAAAATTATAATATCAATTCAACTTACAGGCTATAATAAATAATAACAATATAAAATATCTAGACTGACAAACTGTCTCCGCTCAGACTCAGAATCGTTTTCCTTATACAATGATATTTTATCATTGAATTCAAGTTTAACACAATCCATTATACATTGACCCATTTTTAACCTACTGTACAGAAGAGCGATCCACTTACCCGCTTTTTTTTAACTTGAAACTGTATTGTAATGTAATGAATGATTTTTAATGATTGGCACATTTAAAGATTCGCAAAAGTTGTTCTGCGTCAACACTAGCAATTTGTTTTTTTTTTAAATCAAAATATAACGTAAAAAAATAACAAAAATGTAAAAAATGTCCGATAAGAATCAAAAAGTTCTTCAGATTGACAAGAATCTTTTGGTTGTTAATATCATTTTTTCCACTTTCGTTCTAAATTAAATGTATGTTTTTACTAAGTCGTTACCAACCTCAAAATTATGTGACATTGTCTTTTCGCTTAAATAAATACCTACCTATTTACAAGACAGTACCCGGGGAGGGGGTCAAGGGTTAAGGGTTCAACCACCACCCCCTGCGAAGTTCTCTTAGATTATGTAATCGTATAAATAATTTAACATTTAAGTTATATGGTTTTAATTTTCATAAACCATAGATCTTGGGTAGATCACTGGCTGTATGCGGTATGCCCGTGTATGCAATTAACATTTTAATAAAAACTGTATACAAATAGGTACTTACATTACTTACGACACAAATGATAAATGTATTACTTAGGAATAAAAATTTGTCTAAAAGATTAAATGTAAATTCGTATGACTACTGATGAAATAACTTAGAATGGAAGAAAAACGAATCGTACGGTTCACGGAAAAAGAAAACAGATCGAACATCGAAATGAATTACGATGAAAATATAAACTTGTATAAGTACATAAATTGAATGGGAGGGAATATATTATAATAGACAATAAAATAATTTTGTGGCCAAAACTAAAATTAAACGTGTATAATAAATTGATAACTTACATAGTAATGTTAATATTGTTTCAAGCGTTGTTGTTTCAATATGTAATATACTTATATTGTTTGTCTTAAATAAATGAAATAGATAGTCTAGAAAAAATGGAGACAATATCTGTGTCAACAGTCAAAAAAAGAAAATTAAATTACGATGAGCCTTCAACAAGTTCTTCGGAATTAAAACAAAAAAAAACTTGCAGAAAATATTGTCCGGAATATTTGCAAATTGGATTTACGTGGAACGGAGACGAAGAAAATCCACGACCACAATGTGTTATTTGTGGATGTATACTTGCAAATGAGAGTATGCGACCAAACAAATTACATCGACATATCGATACGAACCATCCAGAAATGAAAGGTAAACCACTCGATTTTTATAAAAAAAAACTAGAATCTCTAAAAACATCCAAAAATAATATTTTTAATTTTACTGCAACTAACCAAAAAGCTACGTACGCTTCATATAAAATATGTTTACGAATTGCTCAAACTGGTAAGCCTCACACAATTGGTGAGTCTTTAATTTTACCAGCAATCAAAGACGCAGTCGGAATCTTGTTTGATCAAAAATGTTTAAAAGAAGTTGAAAAGTTATCGCTTTCAAATAATACAGTGTCGCGTAGAATCGATGACATTTCTGAATGGGTAGAAAATAAACTGATTGAAAGAGTTAAATTGAGTAGATGGTTTTCATTACAGCTAGACGAGTCCACAGATATCCAAGGCTTATCTCAGATGATTGTTTTCGTACGTTACATATGGATGAATGAATCTCACGAGGATTTTTTGTGCTGTGAACCGATTATTCGAGGTACAAGTGATGAAATTTTTAATACTCTTAATACCTATATAACAGCGAAAGGAATTGAATGGACGAAATGTGTCGGGTTATGTACGGACGGCGCCCGAGCATTGTGTGGTAAGAACAGTAGTGTTATTACTAAAATTCGTGAAATTAACGTTAATGAAAAAAAATAGGAAACAATTACATCCTTCACATTAAAATTATATACTTATTAAATTTTACTAATATATTATACTTATTATACTTTTTTTTCGTAATTACATAAAATTTAATAAAATAGTTTAATTTTCTGTTGTATGGTAAAAAAAAAAAAAAAAGGTCATTCATTGATATTGTGGGTCGCCATATTTTAAAAAATTTTCAAAATGGGTCGTACAATAAAAAGTTTGGGAACCTCTGAGATAGACCGTATTAACTGTATACACATTAAAGTGCACAGTAAACCACTGACTGTCGAGGATCGAATGCCGAGTGCCGACTGATTAATAAGTGATGAATAGGATATTATATAAGTCTTATTCTAATAAAGATAAAAAAAAATATCTCGAACATGGGAAAATGAAAATTGATGACGTGCTTAGTTTTTGGTGTCTACTGACTCGATAATACATTTACATCGTAGTACACTAATATTGTGTACTTTGCTATTAAGTAAATTAGTTAACTAATAGCACTGTAATCTAATCTGAAGGTTGACAAATTATAAAAGTTTGGAAGTTGCATTTAGGTAGGTACTACAAACAGTTAACACTTAACACAATGATAAAGATAATATCCTAAATTCGTTAATACAAATATACAATGTAATATTATATTCTTAAAAAATATAATTTAAATATAATTACATAGATCCGTTTTAAAGTGATTAACGATTATTATCCGTTATATTATATTTTAAAAGTTTTTTAATTTATTTAATTTTTAATTTATATTATGTAGGTATTTAAACAAAAATAATAATTATAAAAACCTAAAATCAATGATATAGTAGTATCAGGGTTATGCTCAAGGGGGGGGGGGGAGGGTGTCATATCCTCACATGAACTTTTTTTTTATGCGTAATTTATAGTTCTTGGATAATTTCGGTTTATCCAAAAAAAAAAATGTAGTGTTTGTATCTGTTCATCCCCCCCCCCTCCCCATAGGAAAAAACTGAGCACGCCACTGAGAAGTATACCTAGCTAATGTCAACACCGTAAACTATAAAAAATAAAAATAAGATAATTCAATAATAAAATTGAGATTATCATAATATATTAACAAAATTTATTATAGCATGTCAATATGTCATATAATAATATAATAATATAATAATTGTTCCTACTGGTTTCTGATTTTAACCCGAAGAATTCAGAAGTGTAATAATATTTGATTAAAATATTCACTTATTTCAATTATTATCTGGATTAAGTTATTATAGCTGAACACTATAATATATATAGGTAGGTACCTAATAAAGTAGGTAATTTAAATTTAAAATTATACTTAAAAAACCAACACACCATATTTGACTCAAATTTCGAAAATAGACTTAAATTTTCGCAAATAACATGGTATTGTCGGTACCGACGTCAATATTCTACATTACGACAGCCTTTGAACCTTAGTGGTTTACGTGAAGTGTTACATCCGTATTTGATCAGTTATTCAAAATTGGCTAATCAGTAAATAATTTCTAAAAGTAGACTTGAAAATCTTCACCACTCACACCAAAATAAGTGGGCCAACTTCACGTACGCAATACATATTTGCACAAAAACTATAATATTATTGATAGGTATCTACTAGTGTTGGTTAACATGGTATTACAAATTAAATAAACATAATAACTGACCGGGTACATGAAAATGTTAAGTGTACTTACGGTAATAAATTCTCCGTAATCACGTTTTGGGTAGCCGTGGTTCAATGGATGTCAATATTTCTAAATCGTCGAATAATAATAAAAATATTATGGTAAAATCCAGACGTCGATGACCAAATAGACGCAACGTATTCTTTCAAATATGAAAAACAAAATAATATAGTTGTGACTTGTGAGTCGAGTCGTATTATGACTCTCGTGATGATTGTCGTTGCACAGCGCTGCACACCGCTACCCCCCCGACACACTCATTCGTAGTGTAAAAACAGCGATAAGGCAATATTACCGTGAGCCTATATTATATATATAATTTTTATATTTTGGTATTTTGTGAGTGGCGTGGCGGCGGCAGTACTTTAAAAACAAATAATAATATAGACAACACATTTACACATTATCTAAGAAAAACTAAACATAATACGAAAATAAAATAAAGCAGTGCAAGAGATACAATGCCAAACAAGAGGCGTATTTATGTTTTTTTTTTATTAGAGTTGAGGCTTCGACAACAAAGATCATTATTATCAATACAAAGCCTGTATTTATGTTTATTTTAACCCTTATTGCATTAATGCTTTCACTAGTTTAAACAACACTTAGGGCCGATTTCACCAACACAGTTAATCACGGTTAACGTTTAATCGGCTGATAACAGATATTTAACCGGCCAAATTCGGCCGATTAAAACTCCGGTTAACTTTAACCGTGATTAACTGTGTTGGTGAAATCGGCCCTTAGTATATTTTACCATTAAGACTCCATTTATACGTAATAAAAAAGTCAACCTTTATAATTGAATAAAACAAAATATAATTTTAGAGTTTAGCCTTTTTTTTCTTAATTGTACCTACATAATAAGACAATATAATAAAATACATTATATATATATATGTATGGAAATATGTTAAATAGGTTATCAGTTATCAGTCATTAGGGATGGGCATGTGGCGGCGCAGCCGTCACATGATTTCTTCCCGGACGACGCGAGCACTGTTAGGCGTTGGTCACCCCCCTCCGGGCCAGCGGTCGGTTTCGCCCGGGGCCTACGGCGTAACCGCCGCCCGGAACATCTCTCTCGTTCCGCAACCTCGCGATTGTCAACACGCTCGACGCACCTCGCTCCGATCTTTATACGCACACGGTAAACCCAAAGACACCTCGTGACCAACGTTTTCGCTCGACGCGTCGTAATATCGTACATCGTACGTCCTGTAATTTATGAATATTATTTCTCGTCACAGCTCTAATAAAAGTACAATTGTAAGAAACAAATTCGTGTTCGTTAATTAAATTTTAATTCGTCACACCACGTGACTTGGTTGGAGGCAGTCGGTGCATAGACAACGCCGACACCTCTACATTGGTGACCTCGATACTCGTACACGCGCTTCGCTTACCTATCCGTCCGATCAGTCTGTCGCGAGTGCGCCATGGTCGACGAAAATCAAAGTGCGCAAAAGGGAAACCCCCCAACGCAACAAACCACCGGTGGCGAGGCATCGTCAGACGTAGCCGCCGTCGCTCACGTCCGTCTTCCAACCTTTTGGAAACATGCCCCCGAGCACTGGTTCGTCCACGCAGAAGCAACTTTCGCGAGTCAGCGCGTTTCGGCGAACAACACACGCGTTAACCACGTGTTGACCGCGCTCGACGAAGAGGGCATACGCGCCGTCGCCGATTTGCTCGGCTCCTCCGCCACCTACGACAGAATCCGCCTCTGTCTCATCGACGTTTTCGGCGTCTCTCGATCCACGCGTTTCCGGGAAATCGTTCTCCCCGGGGGCATCGGCGACCGCCGACCCTCCCAACTGCTCAGAGACATGCGCAACGCCGCCCCGGAAGATCTCGGAGAAGCCGCGCTCAAAGAATTTTGGCTACAAAAATTGCCCAACAACGTGCTAGCAATAATTTCTAGCCTCGACGAACCCCTGGATGCCCTCGCTGCCCGCGCGGACAGGGTCATGGAGGTCTGCGGCTCACAGCGAGTGGACGCCGTTTCCGGGTCCGATGATCGCCTCACAGAACTCGCGAACGCAGTGCGCTCACTAACGCAGCAAATGCAAACCGTCGTCGCTCGCACTCAACACCTTCCGAGTGAAAACAACACACGCGCAGACAACCATACTCCGCGTCAGTACCCGTCCTCGCGCCGCACCGCGGCCAAAAACTCGGAATTGTGCTACTATCACGCCAACTTCGGAAAAAAGGCAAGAAAGTGTCTGCCACCCTGCAATTTCGATACCGCGGACGACAAAACGCGCGACTCGCGGCCGCAGTCGGAAAACTAGCTGCCGCAGCCAAGGTACCCGCCCTTCGTGCTGTGGTCTCTTCAATGCGGGCCCACATCAACGACCAGCGATCAGGCAGGTTGTTCCTCGTCGACACCGGCGCCGAGGTATCGGTCATTCCTTATGATCGCAGCCGCAAACAACAATCCAAAATCACACTCACCGCCGCCAACGGTACGCGCATACAAACATACGGACCGAAGACCCTCGTCCTCGATTTCGGTCTCGCGCGGCCATTCACCTGGACTTTCGAGATGGCCGACGTCACCAGCGCCATCATCGGAGCAGATTTTCTCCACTACTTCGGCCTCCTCGTCGATATTAGGCGCAATCGCCTGGTAAATCCGGCCAACCAGCAATCAACAAAAACCACGCGCACGTCGAACGCGAACTCTCTCTTTCTCGCGGCCGCCCGCACGCCTGGTTGGGCCGACATGTTACAAGATTTTCCGAATGTCACTCGCGAGTCTCCGGTGCCCGAAAAATTTCTCCACGACGTGGAACACGTTTTACCTACTACGGGTCCACCATTATTCGCCCGCCCGCGACGATTACCGCCGGACAAACTTGTCGTCGCCCGCCGCGAGTTCAATCACATGCAGGAACAGGGCATTTGTCGCCCGTCGTCAAGCTCCTGGGCAAGCCCGCTGTTACTGGTGTCAAAAAAGGACGGCACATTTCGACCTTGCGGGGATTACCGCCGCCTCAACAACGTCACCACCCCGGATCGTTACCCGCTGCCGTATTTACAAGACTTCACGGCTAACCTCGCGGGGCGAACTGTTTTCACCAAGCTCGACCTTATTCGCGCTTACCATCAAGTACCAATTGCGACAGCTGACATCCACAAAACAGCGGTCACGACACCGTTTGGGCTTTTTGAGTTTCCCGTAATGTGCTTCGGCCTTCGAAACGCCGCGCAGACGTTTCAACGGCTCGTGAACTCGATCCTCAACGGCCTCGATTTCGTTTTCGCCTATGTCGACGATGTCCTCATTGCGTCGTCAAACAAAATGGAACA